GACAGTAGTATCTGGTTCCAAAAATGGGCAGCTGGTAAGTGAAAACTTTCCTATAATTTGAAAAATTGGGGTGTTCTACGTAGTAATCTGATATTTTGACCTAAGCTTGTTCAATAGGTTTATGTAGGGAATTTGTTCAAAGTATTCTTAGAGATCAACTCACAACGAACCAAAAAATTTAGCGTAAAAAAGACGAGAGTTTTTAAAACGATTTTGTTTTGAATTCTTTTTATGTGAATATTGATATAATCAAGATTTTTGCAAATCGAAACGGTTAAAAAACGCCTGCAATACAATATTATGCATCTTTAAAAATTGTATTGCCAGTTTTATTTAAATTTATGCAATAAGGTATTTAATATTAATGCAAAGGTGATTATTTTAATTGATCAACTATAATTTACGCCAATGCTCAAACTTTTTTAAAGTTCTAACTAGTATTTCCTGATCGGCTATGGGGATAACCATAACTAAGCATGCAATGAATATATTAATCTTATCGCCTTATGATTTGCATTTTAAATGTCATACTTTTTAGTCTTCTTTGGAGGTATTTTAGGGTTTTATACTTATTTGTCCAGTGTTCATTATCAAAAATAAATTTGTCCTGAATAAGTGCAAAACCATTTAAATGCAGGCATTTCTGGAAAAAACATTTCTGTTTTTTAATTCGGAATCCGGAAAAAAATCCCTCTTACGTTATATTTTTATTTCTCCATTTTTAGAATCTCCCAAATAACTTGAACACCATATTAGGCGCTCTGCTTTGGCTTCTTTATTTACTTAACACAAATTTTTACTCTCGATACGTTATTTTTACTGCGTATGATCAGACCAGCTCTATCGACTACAAACCCCAACCGTACATACGAATGAATTTTCCCGTGTCTTTAAATGATGTTCTCTTTGTGGAAGATTTTATCAGCGCACAAAATGATGAATGGACAAAAGATGTTCAGAGTCGCCATTGCCCTTCTGGCATTTTATCTCCCAGTCTAGCTACAATGAATCAAATTATTCTCTCAAATCATTCCAATATCGACCAAGTAGGTAATCATATCGCCTCCCTACCTACGTCTCTAGGCTGGCTCTATCCCTGTGATATTTTTTGACACCCGTGTTCTCTGGCCCAAGTTTAATCGGTCCTTACCCTCTGACTGTCCCTACCACTGTATTTACACCAATAGTACCGAGGAGGCTACGAATGCATCCATTGCTGTGTTTACCCGCGCACCGACACGCCAACATGCTGCGATGTTCAAGAACACGCTCTGGGCTTTCGACAGCAATGAGGCACCTATTCGTATGTCACCTATCCATCAAGAATATCGACAAAAGGTTGGTGTTTCAAACTTGTGTACATATGTGCATGTATGTTCTGCTCCTGCTTTTTTCTTTTAACAGTAATAGGGGCGATGAGAGTGGTCACCCGTAACTGAGGGAATGGAAATCTAAAAAAAGAGCTCCAGTTCCTAATAGAAATCTTATTAACTAGCAAAATTATCTTAGACTGGAGAGCTTAATACAAGAGAACTGGCAACCTGCAAGGGAATAACACGATGAGGGAGTGATTAGCGAATAAAATTCTCCCAAAACCCTCCTTTTTAGTTTTCCATCTTCCTGACAAGCAATCCCAATTCTACCGTCTCCAAGCCTTACGGATTGTACTGGGCGTACAACCAACCAGAATGCGTCATGTCTCGGAAGGAGCGAGAGCACCTCTTCCATCATGTGGACTCACGACACCTTCTGCCCTCCTCAATGGGGACGAAAACACGAGTGGTCGCGTGGCTAGTCTCCAATATGTACGCGATGAATCAGAGGAAACTCTTCGTTGCTCAACTCAGACGTCATATATCCGTGAGTGCTCAAAAATGTGAGAGGAGGTTGTAGATGAAAGGACTAATTAAAAAGTGTTACAAATATTTTGCGAAAATAATTTTTGTCGACAGTCAAACCATAACCTGATAATTGTGGGAAAGACGTTCTTGAGGGCTAATTGCTGAACTCCCCCGACGTAGTCGTGGAAGCTTAATTGTGACAGCGCATACCGAAAACATACAGCATGCGTGTTGTCTGGTTTTGGGCGTAGTTGTGTTTGTGTCTCCTTTGCCATTCGATTAATGTTGATGATAATGAGCCTGATGACAGGAACGGAGTCGCCGTGGTAAGTCTCCCTTCGAACGAAGAAGTTTTTGGAAGTGCAACTCAGTCTTCCAATTGCACCGAAAAAAAGACAAGAGGAGGGATAGTGAAGAAAAATTCTAGTTAACGCAGAGACCTCCTGAAGTATGTTAATCATATCATCGCTATTAGAAGCGCATCTTTTTCTCAAGACTTCAAAGCTAATTCAGCACTTCAACCCCCCGTGTTTGTCTTTCTCATGTACACTTACAAATCTTGAAAGAGTACTGAAGCGCCAATAAAGCGTCGACCCTTGTCACCCTTCTCACACAATGTAAAAAGGTGAGTAGAAAAGAGATGGCATTGAAATAGGATCATCATGGAACTGATCTTCTTGGTGTGCTATTCCACCTACTTCCACTCTTCATTACTCGAGTA